GATAGAAAACAAACAGAAACAATTCTTGTAGTCTGCACAGCAGGCAGGAGGAGTTGGAGGGGAAGAGGATAAAAAGCAGCAAATCAAATGATGGGGGATCAGGGAGGGAAATGTGTCATGTGAAATAAAATTCTAAGACTGCTCATACTTCAAAAACCCTTCAGCTCTATGGCTCTCTTAGTTGAATTTTGCAGACCAAATCCAAAGGACAGCTCTGGGCATGAGAGGTTCTTTCCTAGTGCCAAAGGCCACTAAATAAATGTACTGTCAGCCTAACAAACACTGTGTCGAAAACTTTTCATCATGTCTGCAAGAGATGTAGAGTTGGACGTGCTGCGAATGAAGGAATGATTAAGAAGTTCAAATGCAGAAGCTCTTTGTGCTGGGTCACGCTCCAAGGTTCTCTGCAAAAATGACAGCAGCCGAGAAGACATCTGTAGAATAGAAGTAGAACAGAGATAAGGAAACAAATCAATACTTGAAGTGCAGCGAAGATATTATAATAAGTTTTTCTAATAATAAGTTAAAATTGGGAGGTTCTTGAAAATTTCTATTTGCCACATGCAATTTAGGTTATATTAAACTCAAGACAACTGTTGGCCAGCTGATTTCCTCTCTTGATGCACGACATGAGGTCAGGCCATTTCACTTTGCTTGTTTTATCAGGCTTATGGTCTTGCTTTATTTCTTCTTTACTTATGACAAAATATTTTGGACAAGTACTTTGGGTCTCAGACAACCAAGAAGTTAATTCAGATAGTTATCAGACTGGCAAGTAAATGATTAAGTCTACATTTTTCTTTTACATGTAAACTCTGCCTTGAACAGCAAGTCTATAATTATTATGCAGTACAGTGGAACCCTGCTAATACGGCCAGATTTTTGTGGCCCGTTGGTAACTGTATTAACAGGGTGGTGGTATTAAAGGGGTCCTTCAAATAAGAAAATGATTGACTGAGCTTTTCTTCTGGCCAGAATAAAGTGGCCGTAATAACGAGGCGGCCATATTAACAGGGTGGCTGTCAGGTGGGGTTCCACTGTACTTCCCCTTAACAGGAAAGTAAAGAAAACCACAAAAACTTGACCGCGAAAAAAATTCTCTTCCAAACTGCCTCTAGCTTAAAACGGATTGATTTAACTATTTATTATAAATATCATTCATTCAGTATTATGTGTTTCCAAGCATAGCCTGCAAAGTGCTACAATTTGCTCACATAGTGCATAACAGGCCAACATGTCATGAATGTCTTTTAGGAGTCAGTGATTTAACAGTAATTTACATTAATTTCATCTTATTTTTTAATTTTTTAATTTTCTTTTCTTTAAGTTGCCATAAACAATGTATTTGATGTAAGATGTGTGAACTATAAAATACTGTATTGTAAAAAATAAAATAAATTTATGTTACAAAATGCTTTGTTACTCCAAGTTGTTTTTTTTGGATCGCCTAGTTGAAAACTCACCTCACCATTCCTTTGTGTGATTGGTGGATCCAGGTCCCTCAGTTTTCTCATGGCTTGTAATGGAGGCTCACTGAAATAAGGTGGCTCTCCATCAATCATCTCAAGAATCATGATCCCTAGGGACCAGATATCAGCCTGTCATAAAGGAGACAACATAAAGAAAGTTATTATACTGCAAGGAAGTAATTAATAGCAATTTAACAAATGTAAATTACAGATAGAAATAATCTACACTTCTTGGACTGCAAGCTTGAGTTGTTCAAACAAGGCAGTACTGTAAGTAGGGAGAACTTCAGATCAAGTTGACTACACTACTCCACAGAAAATGAGTAGAGAATACACTTTTAAAAGGAAAATTATTATCCACTGTTAACCACAAAGTGATGAACTACATGTAAGTCTCCCTGCTATATTTGCAATTCTTGTGAGGGTCGTTTGCATAGTGGCTAAGGTTAACGTTCCAGTCTGAGTTCAAGTCCTGGCTGGGATTATTGCATTATGTTCCCTGTCAAGGTTCTATGGCTTAAATCACTTTGCCATTCTCTACCCAGATGTATGTTAAAACGGTACCAACAAGGTACAAAGAAAACCAATGTTCGAGAGTATCACTGATAAAAATTATTATGATGCCCTAGCATGAAAGTCATTCTTACTAGCACTGTAAAACATTTCTTACTAGCATAATAAATTCAAAATTAAAACAACACAATTATAATGATAAAATATTACAGAACATCTGTAATTTGAATATCCTCAAACATTCCCTGCTTCAACTAACTTCACTTGCCCGTCGGGCAAACAAAAGACAGAATCCACTAAAGCAACTGAAAAACCACTAGTACTGTATGTCGGATAAACAATCCTGTTTTCCTTTTTTGTTGTGGTTTACTAATTTATCACCTCCGTCCCATAAGGTTTTCTTGATATAACTTCAGGTGCCATCCAGTATGGAGTGCCAACAAGGGACTTTCTTCTTGGCATTTCTTCTGTCACTTGGGCACAGAAACCAAAGTCAGACAGCTTCACCTGCAGCAAGAAATATTTTAAAGAAGTTATTTCTGTAACATATTTTTGTCAAGTGCAAACAGATCCATATTTTTATACATGTACACTATACACGTACATAACCTGTGACCACTTACATGTGCACTGTATGCACCCACTATACAATTTGATGACTTTGTCTGTTTCATACATGTACATGTAGTACAAAATCATATAATAGTAAAACAGAATAGAAGGCAGGAGGCTTAGATATTGGATGTTTTTCATATAAGTACAGTCGCAGTAGAAGTTCATGTACAATAAATTTAAAGAAAGTTCCCACTGGCCGAAATATGTCTGAAAAATGTATTTTATGAGCTTTCATTTGTGTTGTACAGGAAATTTGGTGACCCGTATGGGAGATAGGGAGATTCAGACTTTACCCAGGAGACTCTCAGATTATCTGAAAGACTGGAATTACGTTAATAACTTATAATTTATTGTAGAGAGTATTTTTCATATACCTGTCCACTTGTGGTGAGAAGAATACTATCACTCTTGATATCTCTGTGGATAACTCCCTGTGGATGCAGGAAAGCCAGAGCTTTCAACACGGCACGGCACACACAGGACACCTGCTCCTCTGTCAAACTAGAGAGAGAAATTAATGAATAACCCTTCTCGATGACACTTCTATAGTTTATGGAAGGCTCTTATATCTCCCTTAGTTTA